GTCAAATTAAAGAAACATCCCAATCTGTTGCCTGACCACGTTCAAATCTTCATTCCAACGGAGTGTCGAGAAAAAGGAGAAAAATTAAAATATTTAATGAATACTAAAACATATGAACAACAAACAAAACTAATGCAGAACGGAAATGACCCAAATACATGGCCGTTGTTACCATCAACAACAGCCGTTTCAAATCAATATTGGACTAATAATTCAACACCGAAATCATTTCAAAATGAATTTGACCAAGTTAAAAATGAATGTGCTCGTGAAATGAATGAAATAAACAAGAAATTTGATGACTTTCTTCAAAAATGTCAACAAGAACTAAAAACAATTGAACAACAAATACAAATACAAAAAGAAATATTAAAAATTGTGTCTAATGCTGTGATGAAACAGTTATTTCCAACATGCATCCATTCAACTCAAGCAGTACAAATGTTGGCTTCAAAAATATTAGAAAAAGAAGAAGGCATCAACATCAAAGCCGGCTATGATAAAATGATTGAAAATCTAAAAGTGAATGCTGATCTTTTACGTCAACAATTACTATTTTTTACAACGTACTATAACAAATTAGACAATATTGGGGTGAAACAAAGTAATGGGTTAAATTTTGGTATTGATTCATTAATATCAATGCAAAATGAAAAATAAGGATTTTAAATATTCTTCGCCGTATGTTGACATTTCTCATATTGACATTCTCAATTGCTATCCCCAAGAAAAAAAAGAACTAAGATTGATAGCAGAAGAATGGAATGTACGTAGGTCTGTAAGTGAGTTAAGTAAAAAATGGTGCAAAGTTAGACCGGATAGTTCTGTCGACAATCTCACTTTTCTTGTCTATAATGTTCAGGGACTCAGTACACATATTGCAGACATTGACATTCTAATTTCTATCCAGATGCCACATTTTTGTATTCTAACAAGTATAAGTGCACAGATCCAAAATCTTTCAAAAATACCCTCATTTTATTGGATAAGCCAAGAAGATACCAATTCTTTCGATGGAGTAGCGATGTTAATTCACAATTCTTTGAAAACAAAAATTATAGACAGGGCAGAAAATTTTCTACTTATTAGCCTAGAAGTTATTCCTGAACCAATATTGATAGGAGCAGTTTATTCGCCACCTAAAACAAAACCCCCGTTGGATCTGTTTCAAAAATGTTTGGGAAGACGGTTTTTTGTGTTGGGAGACTATAATGCTAAGCGTCCTGAGTGGCGGTGTGACAGTAGTAATGAGAGTGGTAACATGCTAAAAAATTGGTTGGAGGAAAATGGATGTGAGATGATTTTTCCTAATAAATCAACATACAGATATTCAAAGTCAGTCATTGATTTTGGAGTAACAAACGATTGCTCAGGATGGACCGCTGAGGTGTTAGATGAGGGGACTTTCGACCATTTTCCAGTTATATGTTTTTCTCCGTTTTCTGCAAATGAAAACAAAGTTTTTCGTAAAACAAACTGGAAAATGTTTTCGTGTTTTCTACAATTAACTTTTCAATATTGGAATTCAGTCGTTTACAATTGGGACGAACAAACTTTCTTTATTTTTTCAAATTTTTTGGCTTCTCTGTGGGACAGAACCAGTGAATGGATATCGATCAAACAATACAGACCTCCTTGGCCAGCATATCTTGTTGTATTGGCTAAAAAAGTGAACAAATTACGAAGGCGCTATCGCAGATCGCGTTTTTTGACTCATCTTGACGAATACCTTTTTGGAAAGACGTGTTTTTATTGGCGAGATCGGACTACGAACAAAAGAAAAGAGAGAAAAAGATGATGTGGTTGAAAGAAGGACAAAACATATGGAAATATGTGAGACCTACATTTCATCCTTATACACCTGCCTTTCGAGGGATAAGTACTCCGACTGGAATAGTTAAAGATAATCAAAAAATCGCGGATATATTAGCAGACTTCTACGAAAACCATTTTAAAGCACCTCTGTATAATACGAATCACCCTCACCATTTACGAGCGGTCGAATTATACGACCAAATTTCATACGTACCAAATATACCACTTTCTAAAATCTCTTTCGATGAGGTACAAAAGCAATGGCAAAAATTCGGGCTCAAAAAATCATCAGATTCAGTCGGTACATCAGCTTTTTTACTAAAAAAACTTCCACCAGAATATTTAAACATAATCACAATTTTATTTAATAAATGCGCTGAAAAAGGAGGTTTTTTTGAAGGAGCAAAGCATGCAAAAGTAGTTTGTTTATCAAAAGAAGGTCTATATTCGCAGGAAAATCGACTCCGCCCTATCTCTCTGCTTCCCAATATTGGAAAATGGCTTCAAAGGATTGTTCATCAACGTATTTTAAAGTGGTGTTACGAAAAGGGTATCTGTGTTGATGAACAATCAGGTTTTACACCCGGAAGGAGGCTGCAAACACGGATATTATCTTTATGCGAAGATTTAGGACTAACAATTGCTGCTAGTAATCGTCCAGCATTAATAATATTCGTGGACTTTATGACTGCCTTTGATCGGATGTGGTTTCCAGCTCTGATAAGTAATTTATTAGAACTGGAAATGCCGCTGGAACTGGTCCGGTGGATTTATCTGTGGCTGCAGAATAGATCTCTCTCAATCTGCCACGGTGAAGCCAGCTCAAGAGTAATAAAACTTTTTGTGGGAACTCCTCAAGGTTCAGTACTTGCTGCTACATTATTCCGCCTTCACATCCATTTTCTTCCTAAATATTTCATGCAACTAGTTACACATTTATTTGCGGACGATCTGGCCCTTGTTTTTTTCGGATCATTGGAGAAGCGTTTTTCTGTGAATATTGGGAAATAAGAACACCGGGCTAGGATAGCGCTAGGTTCATTAGCTAAATTCGAGGATGATATCATTCTACCGGTTAATGTATCAAAAACAAAGGCAATGCTCATCCAATGCTTCTCAATATCCATACTTAGAATACAAAGGAATTAAAATTGACTTTGTAAAAATTTTCAGATATCTGAGTGTTGAGATATGTTCAAAATTAGGATGGGGAGTTTTCATTCAAAATCATTTAAAAATAATCAGGAATATATACAACGCGTTGCGAGTTCTATTTCGTTTTATCCCAAAAAAAGATATCAAATTAAGAAGACAAATTTTCCTTGCTTTCGCACTTCCGCATTTTATTGGGTATTCATTACCTGGCTCTTCTTCACAGAAAAACAACACGACCTCATAGAACATGTTTATGCAACCGGTTTACGAATCATCTACGATTTACATGGATGGGATGACTTAACTACACTGGTGTTGAGTAGAGATTGTTCTTTAAGAGATTATATTTTTAAGTACTGGAAAAGATTTACTAAACATCTAGAGAAAGCCCCAGAAGCAACCCAATATCAACACACACGGTGTACTTTTCTGGCGGTAACGTCTCACCAGAAGGAATGGTATAAAAATCTTGGTTTTAGGAAAAATAGCAAATTTTTAAACCGTATGCGTATAAATGCAAGGCATAGTCGTTCAGACTGGATAATTTTCGAGAATATCCAAAGCAAACAATATGGATACTTTAGAAGAAATACACAGATGCTAGAGTTTTTTGCGTATAAATATTTTCTTCAACCCCCGTAAACCTCCCGATGCTCAATAAGATAGTTAAGATAGTTAGAGAATTTTAACACGGTCTAGTTATACATTATCACTAGTAAAGTTATTCTTTTTCTTTTCTTTGTTTTATTAATCTGTGGATTATAAAATCGAGCTGTTTTGTTTTTCTCACGATTGTTAACCCTTTTGGAACAAATAAATTTATTACCAATGTTAAAAAAAAAAAATATCGGTTTTTAAAGATAATAACGGTAATAATTGTTCGAATGATATAACAAAAGCTAACATTTTAAATACTCACTTCGCTAACATCTGTACGGTGGATAAAGCTGATTATTTTAGGAATATTCCATCAGATACACTTATCTCAACGGCTCCTTCTCTGCAACTATTTACATTCTCTATTCAAGAGGTCGAAAAATGCTTAAGTAAGATAAACCGGAACAAGGCCACTAGTCAAGATATAACTTCAAAAATTCTTTTAGAATCTGCACCTGTTATAGTAAACGATTTTACTCATCCTCTTTTCAAAGATGGCGATAGTACACTTGCCACTAACTACAGGCCGATAAGCTTACTACCGGCAATGTCTAAGAGTTTAGAACGTCTAGTTTTCAATAGATTGTATGATCATGTGAAAAAACATAAATTATTAATACCGTTCCAGTCAGGCTTCATACAAGGCGACTCGACAGTGAATCAATTAGTCGACCTTGTACATGAGATTAGTGAAAACGTAGATAAGGGCAATTTTACTCTTGCTGTATTTCTTGATTACCCGAAAGCGTTTGATAAGGTCTGGCACGCCGCTTTACTTTACAAATTAAAGAAAAAGGCAGACATCTGTTCCACTGCCGATAAATAGGGGAGTACCCAAGGGGTCCATTGTTGGACCGCTGCTATTCCTTCTATTTATTGATGACATTTCTTTACAAACACAATCTAAAATACGGTTATTTTCCGATGATACGTCTCTACACCACAGTGGTAACGATATTTTAAGTGCAACTAACATCATTAATTCTGACTTACAATGGAAGGTCGTGTATTGTAAGTGAAATTGATCGATCATATTCGGGTCAAATGAACACTCTCTCTGAGAAACTAACAAATTTAAAATATGAGCTGCCCTTGGTTTGCCTGGACAGAGATATTCAGTTTTTAAGTTATGCATTATTAGGCTATAGAAACATGATAATATATGAATTAATCACATGGAATTTTTAGTGTAACCATCAGATTTTTCAGACAGCGAGCTTCCGAAATTTTGATGAACTTATTGATAATATTCAGACTTCTTCAGATACGACTTCTTCTGAAGTTTAATAGTACAGAACAGGAGACTTATCTCTAATTATATAGAGAAATCCACTATCTATCCATATTTTTGAGTTTATTTTGCATGAAAGTAACAGATTGTAGAAAACAATATTTCAAGAGATGTACTAGATGTAGATGAAGATCTTCGATCGAATGATAATAACAAAGGTGTCTTTTGCACCAAGCGCAAGTTAGAAGAGTTCGCTCTTCACAACGAATAACTGAGCAATAAAGATCATAGAATTTAAAGCAA